CAGTGGGAGGAACTATACTGATGAAGCGCAAATGTGTGCTCCCCTATAGCCTCAGAGGGGCAGTAGGAGAGGGGCTAATGAGCTCTAGAGTCCTGCTCTGGGGTGCTTTGGCCGTGGGGTCTCCAGCAGAGCATGGCAGGGAAGGGCCACAAGATGAGGTGTGGGGCTCTCAATATTCCTAGTCCAGAGCCCTCAGCACGAGACACTGCTATCACTAGCAATGATTGTTGCCATTATTGTCAACTCTGCCAGCTGTGAGCAGGTGAGGAGTCCTGAGAAGCTGTTCCTCATGGGCAGAACAGACCCCCACCTCAGAGGACCTCCGTGAAGGTGAAGTAAGAGTGAAAGTGAGGGCTGGGGATCTATAGCTCAATGTTGAGTGTGTACAAGGGGCTGTTCAGTCTCCAAAACCCTTTGGACACTGGAGAGATGGTTCAGCCGTTAACACTACCTGCTCTTCCAAAGGACCCAGCTTTAGTTCCTAGCTTGCACATGGTGGCTCAAAGCCATCTGTAACTCCAGTTCCAGGGGATCCAGTGTCTTCTTCTGGCCTCTGGACACTGCACATGTGTGATACAAAAGCATATATGCAGTCAAAGCACTCATACACATAAAAATAAAGAAAAAAGTTTTTAAAGAATGAAAGTGAGACGCCAGCATGCATGAATCAAATTTGAATCTGTTTCCCTTCACCTCACCCCTGTCTCTTTTCTTCCCTCTTGTTCCTCTGTGGGTAGAGAGGTTGGTCATTGAGCCTGGAGGATAGTTAGGTGCAGTGAGACAGCCAGGATGGGGATAAGTTCTATGGGCAGCTACACAACAGAACAGGCCAGAGCTCTGCAAGAGTCAGGTATCCTGTGTGCCAGGGGCTGGTGAAGTGAGGGACCTACCTGAGCCGTAATGGTATCAAGCAAGGTGGAGGAGTGCTTGGCTGTGCAAGCCACTCATTTATCATGCCAGCAGTGTGTTCTTGAAGATTGGGAGTGATGGTGGGTGACACAGGGTTCTTTGTCCTTGAGGCCCACAAGAGAATAAGCCTGAATGCAAAGTGAGATATCTGGGTCCTGCAGTTTTCAAAAAATAGCCAGAGTGGTGGTATATGCCTTTAATCTCAGCACCCAGGAGGCAGAGGCAGGCAGATCTCTGAGTTAGAGGCCAACCTGATCTACAGAGTAAGTTTCAGAACAGCCAGGGCTACCCAGAGAAACTCTGTCTCAAAACAAAAACAAAGTACTGAATATGTGTAGATTTTTTTCTTGTCATTATTCCCTAAATAATACAATAAAACAACTGTTTCCATAACATTTACATTTACTTGGTATTGTAAATACTCTAGAGATGATTTAAAATATACAAGAGGCTGTATGTGAGTTAATGCAAATTCTGTGGCATTTATATAAAGGATGAGCTGGGGGAGGTGATATCCATGAGGGTCCTGGAACCCATCCCCGGTGGATGCTGAAGAGCCATTGTACTTTGAGACCCTGGTTTTATAGCTAAGGACACACTCAGTACATGAGATAACTTTGCAGAGGGCATTGGCATTAGAATCTGCTGTGTAGTCCCAGAGGGCTTAAGTTTCACTAGCTTAAGCATTGTCCCTTGGCCATGAATAGCCATCCCTGGCATCTGTTGAAGCTCTGGGGAGCCAGCAGATGCTGTTGTAGCCATGGACCTGGTCCCTGAGAGTGGTACCACCTGTGTTCTTGGTGGGGAGTGGGGCTGGTTCATTCTGTGTTCTGGACAGGGCCTAGCTCACACTGCTGAAGATGAGGATGAATCATGGTAGAGGAGGCCAGCTTAGTCAGCACCCCATGCTGCTGTCTGGCTCCATGCATAGACCATCCAGCTGTCTCCCTTCTGCCAACTCAGGGTCAAGGAGCACAGTGGTACAGGGTATGCTCTGATCAGGGATGCCTGGCGGTGGCATGAATGATTCTGTTTACAGTGTGGCAAGTTGCTGTACCTGGCTAGGAGGTTCTGCTTGCTTCCCGTTAATATGTGCCCAAGCCCTTAGTGGGAGGCAGTTGCATCAGGGTCCTAGCACTTCTTGTCTGGAGAGGTCACTTTGCTAAAGGTCAGCTCCTGCCAAGGCATGGCTTTGAGTACCTGGCTATGGGGACAAGCCTGGGGACAGATGAAAAGCATTGAGCCTTTACTATTATCCCTGGGCAGTGGAGGATATGGAGCCATCATGTAATATGGGAGTCTAGTCTGTGGTGCTGAGGGTCTAGTCCCACCTCTGCCTTTTGTGCTGTGGACTTTGGTAACTCTGTGGTCCTCTCTTATACTCACTTGCCTTTTCTGCAATGTCAACTGGCTAATTTCAGGGGTCACTTGAACACTGACATCCAGTTTCATCAGCCTTCTTATTCATAAGTAGGTTTTGATATATACATTTTGGGTTTCAAAGGGACCAGCATAGTACTGGGTGAGTGAATAGTGACGTGTCACTATGATTTGTTAGTAATGCAGACCTCCTACCTGGGTTCTAAGCCCAGCTCATCTGCCTTCTAGTAGTGTGACCTTGACTGAGGTACTTTGCATCTTAGGGTCCCAGTGCCTTTCTCCTGAAGTCTCATGGGTATCCCTTGCAGGCCATGCCAAAGCCTATGTGGGAGATGCATGCAAAGCTCTTAGCCAGTGTATGACAGATACTCAGAACCACAGTTCCAAAAATATTTTCTGAGTGCTTGCTTGATGCTAAACATGAGTGTTAGTTCCAGTCCATAGTCCTTTTACTTGTGGTGCTAGAGATTGAACCTATTGGCACTTTAGCACTGGGCAAGTGCTTTGTCACTGAGCTATAGCCTAGCCTTAATATGTAAATTTGTACTAGCATATTTCTCTATATTACTCCTGAAACAAAAGCTGATCATTCAAATCCACTGCCTTATATTCACACAGTAAAATAAGGTGTCAAGAAGGGACAGCAGCTTGCACAAGGGCGCATAGCTGATTTCCCTGTGCTCTGTGTGGTTCTGTCCACCTCAGGCTGTTGCAGAGCCACTGCTCCACTTTATGTCAGTCTCCCAGAGGGATACCTTCCTCCGCCCCTCCTTTTCCCATTACTCTCCAGAGCCAGCAGCTCCTTGGAGCTTCAAGCTTCGTGAATGGCTTGGTTAAGCACTCGGCCGTTAAGCGTTCATCTCTTACAATTTCAATCCAATTCCTATAAGTTTATTGGCAAGACGGGGTGCATTAGAGCTGCCAAATTTAATAGATCAAGTCCTCGTGTCTGGGATGCAGTTTCTTGGGAGTAATGGGAGAAGAGAGGTTTTATACGTTTTCATTTGGAATGACTAGCTGTTCCTGATCCCATTACAGCCCCTGACTTAATGGCTGCTATCCCTGTCTGCTGCAGGAGCAACTTTCTCAATCAGCCGGCCTGGCTGCCTGAACCATCCATGGCGACTGTCTCCTCTTCACTCCCAGTCCTTTCTTCCTGAGGTGTCTTCCCCCATCTGTTTGCTCTGTGGATTGAGTCCTAGAGTCAGCCTAGTTTGTCAGGTGCTTGGCAGTCTGGGGCTTCAGCTGCCACTTTAGGTAGCTACCTCGTAATCTCAGGGAAGTCATTTCCACCTTCCCCTGGGTATCAGGAGCCTGCTCTGTGGTGGAGGGGTTGCTCTGGTCTTAGTCTTTGCAGTCCCTCTGGATATAGCTCCCAGTGGGCTTCAAGACCTAGGACTTGGCTGTGAGACTGACAGTCACTGTCCACCTTGGGCTACAGACTCCTGGCACGGAACAGTGGCTAAGGGAACTGTTGCTGAAGGGCCTTAAGACACTGCAGTGTTCTCATTTCCATCTGATGCTGGCTGGGAACCCCTCCCCCAAGATGCAGTAGTCTCCTCAGGAAGCTGTCAGCACCTGCTGTGGAGCTCTCTGGCGGGGGGGGGGGGGGGGGGGGGGGGAAGGGGAGACATTTGGCAACAGAATTTTTAGGGGACCTGTATTTGCTTTCTGCTTACCAGTTGTGTGACATTAGGCAAATCACTTCCTCCCTCTGAACCCCAGTTGTCCCAAAGGGAACATGGTAATTCATTAATTTATTCTGCAAATGCTTGATTGCCTACCTATTCTGTTCCAAGTACTATTTAGGTGCTGGGGCACCTAAGAAACAGCAAAATATACTTGCCTTCACAGATTTATATTCTTGTTGTAAAAGAAAGACAGTGACGTAGTAAGATTAGTGCTATGAGGAAAATAAAGCAGAAAGTGGTGAGAACTAAAGAGGACCCTGTGTGTCAGGTCCAGTGGTTGAGTTCAGATCCAGTGAGCAAAGATCAAAGGACAGAGTGAGCAAGTGTTACGAGTATCTGAGGGACAGCATTCAGGCCCAGGGACAGCAAGTACAAATACAAAAAGGCAGCCACATGCCTGTCGTGTGAGAAGCAGAGAGGAAGCCTAAGTGGAGGGAACAAGGAGGTTGGAGGTCCCACAGGCACAAAGGAGGCTAGCCAGAGAGAGGGTTTAAGGTGGTGGTCCTCCAGCCTGTACACTTTTAGAATTACCTAGAAGCTTAAAAAACAAAACAAAACCTCCAGCCGGGTGGTGGGGGCTTGCACACCTTTAATCCCAGCACTCAAGAGGCAGAGGCAGGTGGATCTTGTGAGTTCGAGGCCAGCCTGGTCTATAGAGCAAGTTCCAGGACAGGCTCCCAAGCTACACAGAGAAAGCGTGTCTCAAAACAAACAAAAAACAAAATAAATAAATAAATAAATAAATAAATATAAAAATAAATCTCCAAAGTTGGTCCTCATACCCTGAAGTCCTAGGTCTGCCAGTCAGTGTTGGAGACTGTATAGCAGAATCGTAAGGTCCCTCTGGATGAGGCCTGTTACCCCTGATTGTCAGCTCTGCAAACTCCACAGGAAGCAGTCCTGTAAGCAAAGGATTGCAGCAAGCCTGGCTGTCAGTGCTCATACGAGGGTTCTGTGCCTAGAGCTTTGACACATGGTCTTTTCTTCAATGGTCTGAACAAGTGCTTTGTGGCTTTGCAGGGGCCTTAGAGAATTCTACCACTGAACCACCAATGCTCATTGGAGGTGGCTATGGGGAAGCGATACTTCTGTGATTACTGTGACCGCTCCTTCCAGGACAACCTCCACAACCGAAAGAAGCACCTAAATGGGCTGCAGCATCTCAAGGCCAAGAAGGTGTGGTACGACATGTTCCGAGGTGGGTGCTTGCAGACTCTGTGGCTGGCTCCTGGGGGCCTACACTCTGACTTCATTTACCACCAGACAAGGACCACTGCAGGGAAAGACTGGGTTGGATGACAACTTCTTCTTCTTCTTCTTCTTCTTCTTCTTCTTCTTCTTCTTCTTCTTCTTCTTCTTCTTCTTCTTCTTCTTCTTCTTCTTTCTTCTTCTTTCTTCTTCTCTTCCTCCTCCTCTTCCTCCTCCTCCTCCTCCTCCTTCTTTTGAGGCAGGGTTTTTCTGTTTAGCCCTGGCTATCCTGGAGAAGGGGAGAGGACTCTCTTTGTAGACTAAGCTGGCCTTAAACTCACAGAGATTACCTGCCTCTGCCTCTTGAGTGCTGGGATTAAAGGCATGCACTACCACCAACACCCGGCTGACTTTTTTTTTTTAAAACATTTATTTTTATTGTATGTATGTATGTATTTGCCTATACATATATAAGTACATGTGTGCTTAGTGCCTGTGAAGGTCAGAAGAAGGTATCAGATGCCCTGCAACTGGAGTTTTGGATGCTTGTGAACCACCATGTAGATGCTGTAAACGGAACCCAAGTCCTTCTCAGCACTATCTTTTTTTTTAATTGCATGTGGGGTGTGGGTGTGCGAGTGCACACGTTTGCCCAATGTGAATGTATAGGCCAGCCTGATCTACATAGTGAGTTCCAGGCTAGCCAGGCCCTGTGTCAAAAAACAAAACAAAACAATAAAGTCAAGGGCTGAAGCTATAACTCAGGGGTGGATTGTTTGCGTAGCATGCAGAAGACCTATATTTGATTCCCAGCACTAAAAAGGCAGGAAGGCAAAAATAAAACATAGAGAGAGGGGTAGGCCAGAGTGGATCTTCCTTTTCCAGCCACTTTGACCAAGGATTCTGGGTTTACCTACCATGGACTCAGGGATACCGTGAGTTGGAAGAGCCTTCTTTGAGGAGTTGATCTCTGAGGCACTGCCTGAAAAATAGACTTCAGATATACTTCTGGGACTAGCTGCCCATCAGTCACTGATAATGTGTATGTAAAACAGATATAACAATAGTGAAAGGGCTCAGTAATGAAAGTGCAGAAGGGCATAGTAAGTAGGAGTGATGTGTTTGTGCCTCCAAAAGGATTGACCTCGACTCTTTGTCTCATGAGGTCATTTAGTCAGCCATTGCTCACAGCCAGCCTTTGAAGAGTCAGCCCTCCTTTTTATGTTGTTTTGCACAAATTATTTATTACATTTATTAATTGAGAGTGTGTGTGTGTGTGTGTGTGTGTGTGTGTGTGTGTGTGTGTGTGTGTGTGTAATGGCTCACATGTGAAAGTCAGAGGACATATGAGAATCAGTGTTTTCTACCATAGAACTCAAATCGTCAGACTGGGCAGCAAGCACTGTTATTGGCTGAGCCATCTCAAGGGCCCTGCAGTCATTTATGCAAGGTGTTTTGGGCCCAGTCCCAGGCTTGTGCTGGCTTCTATGTTGTACTGGCTTCTATGTTCTGCTGGCTTTTCACTCCTGGTCCTGAGCACACACTCCCTGCATATCTTTTTTGTGGACATGCCCTTCCTGCTGTCCTCCCCCATCAGGACAGTCCCTGAATCTCCAGTCAGACAGCAAATCCGCAGGAATAGCTAGCTCCCCATCCCTGGGGCCAGGCCAGGTCATCCTGTGACAGGTTTAACATTTTCTGCATTGACGTCCATGTAGACTAGAGCAGCTATAGGACTGCAAGGAAGGACAGGGTCTCACTTGATCTGTACTTAAATACTCAACCTGGCACAGTGCCTGGTACATACAGGAAGGATGCACTTAGTGAATGTTTGAGAGATGAAGGACTTTTGAGCAAACAGCCATGGGGCACCAGGGGCAGTTGGGTATTTGTAAGGTGAAGCTTCATGGATTGATTCTTCAGGTCACAAAGAGCATTATGTATTATGTACAGGAACAAGGCCTCTCTGAGCAGAGCCTGGCTGGTATCCTTCAGGGGCACTGGGGAATTTTTAGCAATTACAGTGACTCTTCTTCTTGAAGGAATTAAAGCAGAACCTGGAAAAAGTACATACCTATAATCCTAACACTCAGGAAACACTGAGGCAGGAGGATGAAGAGTTTGAGAGAGCAAGGGTAACACAGTGAATTCAAGGCCAGCCAAGGCTATATAGTGAGATCCTGTCCAAAGGGGGAAAAATACAAGTAGAACCTGAGAATCACCCCTGGTGATGCAGACCTGTAATCCCAGCCACACAGGAGGCTGAAGCAGGATGATCCTAAGTTCAAGACCTATCTGAACTACAGAGGACCTGAGAGGAGTGGACTGATTGTCCATAGCTGCCCTATGCTTGTGAAGTGAGTTGGGTGGAGAGACACCAGCCAGAGACTAGGTAGTATGGAATTCTCCCACACTTGGCCATTCACTCACTCGAGGCCTCTTGTCAGGGATCCATGCTCAGCCCTACAAGCCGCCCCAGTGGTACTAGGCCCAGAAGGATCCTGAGAAGGTAAATCATTAGTCCCTGTAATCCCAGCTGGATCTGATAGATGGGTGTTTCTCCAGCCTAGGAGCTTCATACTGGAATGAATTCTCTGACAAGCAGCTCCAATCCCAGAGGACCACCTGCCCTGCTAGTCACTAGCTGCTCTGCAAGGAAGCATGCCCTCAGCGCTGTCCCCCTACCCAGCCATCTGAAAGCAGTCACACTGAAAGGACAGGACTCTGGATTCACCACAGTGCTGGCTGGGTGCCGCTACTTTCTACCACATGCCCTCGGGCAGCTCCTTCCCTGTGTCAGGCTCAGTCCCACCCCCACAGGATGGAGCTGTTAGCACTGTCCAGCAGGCTCCTCAAGAGGAAATCACTGTGACTGCTTGGTAGTACTCTAAGTGCTGGGGAAGACGATGCTGAAGCTGCCCAATCCTGTGGTTTTAAAGTGCCAGCAGGATTGCGACCCACCTCTCAAGGGCTCCCCATCTGTTGTTCTATTAAACTTCCACAGCAGCCCCACTAAGTGGGAAAAACAACCCTGGAAAGATAGCAGCTTCCTGTGGCCATGTGCAGCTGGGGTTTTAGCTCAGCTCTTCTGGGCTCAAGAGCCCCTGGTACGTGTCAGCCCTACCTCTCCTGTGGTCTAGGGTGGTGAGAAGGATCTGAGTTCAGTGATCAACTTTCTACCTTACTCAGATTTTTTGGTGAAATGCTATGACCATTCTGTTTGTTCCCACAGTCCAGTAGGTCCTTTTTGGTTTTTCGGGACAGAGTTTCTCTGTGGCTTTGGAGGCTGTCCTGGAACTAACTCTTGTAGATCACACTGGTCTCGAACTCACAGAGATCCGCCTGCCTCTGTCTCCCAAGTGCTGGGACTAAAGGCGAGTACCACCACCACCGCCTGGCTGGTCTGAACTCTTAACAGTTCTCCTGTGTCACCCCTCCAAGTAGCAAGGACTGTAGGTACACATCGCCATGTCTGGGCTACTCACAGATTCTTGACTGATACCTTTCCTGCTCAGAAGCACACACTTTTAAAACCATAACTGTATGATGAGAACAGAGAGAGGAGAAATGGGAAGCCAGGGTTAAAACGAGCAACCAGGATGCTCACTGGGAATTCTTGTACCAGGCAGTGGCTGGTGTGGTCCTAAGTACCCACCACTGGTGCAGGAAAATTGAAAAGAGTAGGAATCAGCCTTGCACTGGAAGCCTTCCCTGGACACAGTGGGGATGGGAGGAAGCACAGTCCTGTGCATCTGGACTTTTTGGAAAGGTTTTCATGTTGAAATATCATGTGCCACTTATAACAGGGATACATGTGTGGATATCACAGACTAAAGCAACCACGACATCACTAGGCAGTGAACATGTGGCCTGCCATGGAGCAGAACATCTTTGTGTGGTCTGTGACTACTCACAGCTTGCAGGAAGTTAGGAAGCTCGTACAGGCGTCCCATGATGCTAGATTTTTAAAATACACCCCCACCCCCATCTAAACCCATTGTCAGACAACCCGGAGAGCCTCTAGCCTCAAACTGCCTCATGATTTTAGCTAGTCCAGAGGAGATGTGAAGAGTGGAGGTCACCTTAGTTTGGATTCCTGTATCCACCGTCTCTGCCCACTGTGGCCAACCCTAGCTTACACCCCTCTATTGATGGAGAGCTTTCTTATTACTGAATGACCCTGATGTCATACCCTTGAGGCTTCATCTCCCTTGGTGGAGTCATCTGAACCCAGACTCTTCTCCTAGATGCAGCTGCCATCTTGCTGGATGAGCAGAATAAGAGACCCTGCAGGAAGTTTCTTCTGACAGGTAAGTGTTCTGCTCAGCTCTGGTCCTTACAGAAAAGCAACAACTTGTCTGTCCTGCCTGGCAGCCTGTAGTGTCTCTTCCAGTCCCTGCCACCATCCTGAGCCAGCTTTAGCTGACTACTCAGTTGAGGCATCTCCAGGAACTTGTTCTCACCTAGAGACCTCCAGATGCAGGTGATGGTTTTATTGACTTATTTAGAATAAGAATGTGAGGAATGTAAGCCAGGGAATACTACTGAGGTCATAAACCAGCTGGTTAGGTTAGCCAGGGGGCCTGACCTCCTGCATCTTCCTTCAGTAGGGAGAGCCAGAGACAGGGATGGTCTAGCAATCCCAAATTCAGAGTCAGAAGCATGGGTGCTAGGTGTTCCTGTGAGTGCTTATTGCTTGGCTCAAAAGTGAGTATAGGAGGTATAGTGGTATCTGCCCATCATCCTAGTGCTTGGGAGGTAAAGGCAAGCCTAGCCAACTCTATGTAGCAAGCCCTGCCTTTAGAAAAAAGTAACACACACACACACACACACACACACACACACACACACACACACAATGATATCAGTAAGGGAAGCAAAGACAGTTGAGGATGGGAAGTCAGATGATCCAGGAATAACTAGTTTCCATGCCCATTCTTGGGGTCCTGTGTACTTTTCTAAGGGTTTATCCCTGAGCTTCCTGGCAATCAAAGCAAAGATGAAAACCATAGGACTCACATAGTTTAGACAGGAATTTACCACTGAGGAAGGCACTCCATTGGACTAGGGAAGCTGGGTAAATGGCTAGACTCCCCTCAGGAGACAGTGCTGCCTGACAAGTTGCCACCAGGCCTGTAGGTCACAGGTCCCGCACAGACATGCATACACTACTGGTAGGTTGTTCTAGCTGAGGACACCACTGGTCTATAATTTTAAACGCCGTGCTTCAGATTCCTTGATTGATAATGGGAAAGCCATCCAAGCATTGACTTCTCTTTGGCAAAGTTGCTTGCAAGTTCTCTGAGGAGCAGTCCAGTTGCTTGTGCAAGCCAGTAAGTGTGCAGAGCAGCAGGTAGGGCCACCTGTGCAGTGACCTGGTCTAGAGAGGAAGGATGAGCCTCCCAGGAATCCACATGAGCTCATGGAGCCCCATAGCACAGACTGCTCAGGCCTGTGTGGCCCAACATGGACAGGCTGCAGGGCTACTCATGGAGGCTTCCTGCAAAGCATCAGGAATAGTGCGTGATGGGCCAGGCTGGCACCTCAGGCCACTGAATGTGAGCAGGACCAGAGAATCTGGTTTTTTGTTCCAGGCTGGGGTGGGGCTGCTGCTTACTGTAGATCCTAAAGTCCCTGCTCCTAACACTTGGAGACCTGTCTGTCACAGTGGAGAATAACTGTTTTCCCATTGCAGGCCAGTGCGACTTTGGCTCCAACTGCAGATTTTCCCACATGTCAGAACGAGATCTGCAGGAACTGAGCATACAGGTGGAGGGTACGTAGGGGTGAAACAGAATTGAGGGGTGGAAATGGGAGCGGCTCTAATACCAGGAAATGTTCTGTGCCACCCCACTTTCTCCCTTACTGGCATGTACTAGGACTGCCCAGGCTAACCCTGAGCCATCCCACTGGGTGGGTGTCAGGAACAGGGCTGTGCTCCTTGGCTATGAAGCACAGTTGTCTTCTTCCCAGGACCCTGAGGGTATGCCCTCAGGTCACCTCAACTAGTCTCTGTTGTTCTGGGTGCTTACCTCCCTCCAAATCCCCTCCTTTTCTCCCTCCCCTCCTTCTTCCCTCCTGCAGTCAGTTCCTCCCTCCTGCAGTCAGTTCCCATTCAGCACCAGCAAATGCCTGCAACCTCTGAGAACAAAAGTCTGCAGAAAACACTTCCCCACTGGCCTTGGTGACACACTTGTAATCTCAGACTTGACAGGTGGAAGCAGGAGGGTCAAGAGTTTAAAGTTGTCCCCCTGAACTTGAACTACATAGCTAGTTCAAGCCTGAATACCTGAGACCTGTCCACCTGTGCCCCCCCCCCAGAAAAAAAACAGCCAATTGACCAAACACACAAAAACCACTTTCCCTGTGTTCAGGTTCCTCACAGCCTGGTGACTGTGGCTTCCATGAAAGCTGGCATGTCTGCCTTTGGAGTTCACTGCTGATTCCCATTACAGATCCAGGACATCCCACTTGGATGGTTGTCACCATCTCCTGTGGCACCTTACTGAACAGGTGGAGAAAATGAGCCAGCATTCAGGCAGAAGGACCTTCAGGCTGGCACCACACAGGGTTTCCAGGAGCTTATCCAGGTGGAAGTGAAGCCTCATGGGGCTAGCCAGAGAGTCCTGGCAGTTGCAGTCTCCAGCCCTTCACCGGGCACATGCTGTCATGAGGCCTGAGCAGGAGGCAGTGTTTAGTGGAAAGAAAGGATGAGGCCTGGGGCAGCTGACAGTTTAAATGGCACTGGTCCTGTCACCTCCCCTGTAACTTGGCAATGAATGGATTCTTGGAGGCAGTAGTGAGATGACACCTGTGCAGTGTCAGTGCAGAGCCTGGGCCTGAGAGAGTGTGGATCCACTGAGTTTATTTTCCCCTAGCTCAAGGCCCCCTCCCACAGCACTGAGAGCCCCACTGCCTAGCTCTCACCAGCTTGAATGAATTCTTTCCTTCGTTGCTTGCTTTTTGGTATACTGAGCAACATTTTTATAGTACATTGGATGAGGAGAAAAACTAGGGAACTGAGGCTTATTATCTTGCCTAGGATCAGGTACCCGGCAGGTGCCAGAGCTGTGATTCAACCCTATTCCACTTGCCTCTTGCATCCCAAATTTAGACCCCTCTTGAGAATTAAGCTCTGCATTCATTGTCCTGCTCCTAGCTCCCCAAGGCTTGCAGACAGCCAGCAGAGCAGAGCACAGCTTACATCACTGAGTCACTGTGGGCAGAGGACCTGGGGAATGAAGGGGACAAACCTGTGACTCTGGCCCACTTCCCCAAGACAGAGTAACACCTGCTGCTCTGTGGAAGAATGAGATTCAGGCCACTGGGGTTGTGTTCTCACCCTTTCTTGTCATTCTGTCCCCCACAGAGGAGAGACGGGCCAGAGAATGGCCACTGGAGACTGCTGAGCTTCCTGAGGGTCACCTGGAAGACTGGCTGGAAAAGAGAGCTAAGAGGCTGAGCTCAGTCCCAAGTAGCAGGTACAAGCCCCAGGATTATCCCTCCTTTCTTTCTGGGAACTGCCTGAACCAACCTGTCCTTTGGGGAAGCTGAGGTATCCATATGAACTGCCCAGGCCCAGGGACCAAACATGAACCCCCCTACAGAGCTTCCTGGAGGTGGGTCCCTCCTGGGGTTCTCAAACCCCAGCCAGGAGTTGTGTTGGAGAAATTGCCTGGTCTCTTGGCTTCTTCTTTTAATTGCTCACCCCATAGGGCTGAAGGAGAGGCTAGGGGCCAAACAGATGTGACCCCACGCCTGGCATGGCAAAAGGTCAGGGCTCTACCTATGGCAGCTAAACTCCCTATGTACTTGGGACTTACTGCCCCTGTAGGGCCCTGTAGAAAGGGAAGCTGGAACTTGCAGAGGCACTGGTGAAAGAAGCAGAGCAAGGGGGATAACAACAAGGTCATTATCCCTCTGCATCCTGAGGACTCGTCCCTTCTTATACAGGGGCTATGCTGAGGTGTGCTGAGCCAGGCACTGTTAGAGTATGGCTGTGTGCTCTCTTTTTTGGAAAGTCAGGATGCAGCCCACACTTCACCTCCCCAAACAGATGCAAAGTGGTGGGGGCAGGAGCTTCTGTAGCTACATGGTGTCACAGCCAAAGGCAAGGCCAGGGCTCCCAGCCCCACTCCAAGTGTTAAAGGTAGAGGAGGAAGAAGGGCTAAGACTGAGCTTGAGAGCTGTGTGTGGCTCTGTACAGACCACCTCAGATTTTCAGACCCCATGTATCTCTATGCTGTGGCCTCAAGGAACAGTGGCTTGGCTGTGTTAAGGATGTCTGTCAGACATTCTGTGGAATGAAAACTTTTCCCCAGGCTCTGCCATGGGATAAAGGTTGAGCTTCTTGTCCAAGTGGAAAGGGATTAGTGTTGTATTTAAAACTATTTTGTTCAGTTTTACATTTATTTGGGAGGAGGTGTGCACATGCACACACACAGGCCATGGCGTGAAGGTGGGAATCAGGACAACTTACCTCAGTTCTCCCCACCATGTGAGTTCCAGGTCAGCAGACTTGGCAGCAGCACCTTCACCTGCTGAACTGTTTCTCCAGCTCCCGCTAGAGCATTTTAAAATCACCGTTGTGTTTGTTTTTTAAGTGGTTTAATTTTTATGTGTATAAATGTTTTGCCTCATATTTGTCTGTTCTCCATGTGCATGAAGTTCCTGTGGAGGCCAGAAGAGGGCAGTAGATCCCTGTAACTGGAGTTACAGATGTTGTGGTTGGTGCTGGGAATCAAGCCTGGGTCCTTTGCAAGAGCAGCCAGTGCTCTTAACTGCTGAGCCTCCTCTCCAGCCCCATTTTACTTTTAGTTTAAACCTGTACCCTGTGTCTGTACCCCACTTAAAAATGATACCCCTTTCTTCTGGACTCATTTGAAGGGATGTAATTTTGAACATTCTAGACTCCTTCAGCTGTGTTAGAGGGTTCATGCTGGTCAGAGAGCCATTCTGAGCCCACCATAAGGATTAACTATGATGTTTCGGCTGCTTACTCCACTGTTCTGCCTCAGTGGTCTCCTTCTGTGGCAGTGAATGACACTGGGCACATTGGGGCAACGAGAAGGGTTCAGGAAGGCCCTGTCTCTGGACTTGAGTTAGTGGCAAGCAAGTAGAGATAGCATGCCCAAAGTCCCTGCCTGAGTACAGACAGACACATGCCCAGTGTGAATATGGGTGCTAGGGGATGATGGGGAAACTGAGGATGAATGACTGTCCCAAGTTACTGCTAGAGTGGTGACCACACAATGGCTTGGTTTGGTATTCATGGTGTGTCCTGTACATGGTCCCAGGCATCCAGGGAGCCTGGCACACTGTTGTGCAACTCTGGAGTTTGCTCTTCCTAGCCAGGGAACTGTGGTCCTGCTGCTCAGGCCTGTGTTCAGGGCTGCAAAAGGGCTTGGCAGCGACTGGATGGGGGAGATGACTGCATCTAGGCTACCCTAGGTTCCTAGAAGTTTGAACCCTGATTTCCTGGTCACTTCAGCGAATGCTATTCTCTGTAGCTACCTGTTGTCTATCTTCACCCAACTGCTGCCATGGGCTCCAGGCAAGATGGCTTCTTTTCTCGAGCAGAGCAAGCTTGAAAGGGGTTGCCAGGAGGTGATGCTTTACTCTGACATGTGTCCCCATTCTCTTCCAATCTCTCTAGCTTTGGGTTCTGCCACTGCATCTCTGGACTCACTGTGGGATACCCTGTTCTGTCCTGCATCCCTGAGAAGAGCCCTGTGGGAGCTGTGTCTCCTTCGCCCCTGGCTATCCTCTGTAGTCCTTGCAGCTCTTCCCCATGTCATAACCCTACTAGTTTGAAAGGTACCTTGGCCCCAGACCACCCCTCCCGAGACTTCCTGATGCTCATTGCAGTTTCTTCTTAGGAAGACCCAGATTCCAAGCTTAGTCCACAGGGACAGGCCTGGGGACAGCATCTGCTACCCATCTCTTAACCTTGCTTGGGTCACACTGGACAATGCCTCCTCACCTCTTCTCCTGGTAAAACCCTACTTAGCCTGCAAGCTTTAATAGAAACAGTGGCCAGGACATGGTGACTATCAAGACACATTTGGGGGATCAGGGACCCTAGCTTGAATGACTTCACTGAGGGTCCCTTGTGGGGACTCCTCCCTTCTGGATGTATGCTTTCTTCCCTGGGGCACAGATGCCACCTGGCTCACCTAGCACCATCCAGACCTGTGGGCTCCAGCATCCACAAGTAGAGAACCCCCGGGTAAGCCAGACTGACTCTCCTTCTTAATGGGGGACACAAGCTTCCCAAAGGTGTAGACTGTTGGTGTCTGCTCGTCTCCTCAGCCCTGACCCTGAGGGACCAGCCAAGAGCAGACAGCAGCCGCAGAGATTGGCCTCAGACCTCGGACACACAGACTAATCCCTGGCTGGTCAGGCGCTGCTATCCACGCTTCCTATTGTTGGCTCTTCTGATTGTGCCTTTATCCTTCCTAATCTCCTACATGCACCCCTCTCTGGGCCAGCGCTCTGTCCTGCACATTCACCCCTGTAAGACTATTTCCTTTTGATAAAGACCAGAGCTGGGGACATGCCAGGCTCTTGCTATTGCCCTTGTACACAGAACAAGTAGGCTGTGAAGAGCATTGCACCTGTGACCCTGTACTCTGCAGGAGTGGGCTCTGAGGCAGGGTCCTGGCAAGGTGTCAGTATCTATGAGTGGACATGAATGATGCCCTTCTCCTGTGGGGGGCCTCAGAGCAGGCAGGTCACTGGCTGACCCACTTGTTAAAGGACAAGTCTGAAGCTTAGAGGCAAGAACTTCCCCAAGACCACTCTTCTCTGGGTAGCCTCACCATTACTGTGGTCTCAGGAATCCCCAGGTTGGCTGACATCTGAGACCTTCAGCAACTGGAGTTTCTGCTACACCATCTTTGCTGTGGTTGATGGAGCTTATAAAATCCCAGCACCATAAATCATGTCAGGGCTGCTTTCTGCTTTCTGCACTTTCGGCAGGCAGCAAGCCACTGAGCAGGGGTGTCCCTGTCCTCTGCACTTTCAGTGGTGGGAGGTCCCCCTGTCCTCACAGCAGGACTTTTGGAAGCTGCATTCAGGGCTCTCAGCCAGACCTCCACTCTTGGCACTACTGCTATGAGTCTGGCCCTAAGGGCAAGAGGGAGGGATGGATGTGGTCTTGAGGTGTTCCCAATAACCACCTCTCAGAACGGAGTAGTGTCCAGACACCTCACAGGAGACTCCTTTTTCTGTAGAGCACTGGTTGCTAGGCAGCCAAGATGGCTAGGAGCTGCCAGGACCTCTTTTCCTGAAAGTTGAGGCAGAAGGAACTGAAGAGTCAGGACAGAGTAAACTGTTCCCCAACCCCTGTTTCAAAGGCTTGTGTGCTTGTAAAACTTGGGACAGGTGGCTGATCCCTTCCTTGTACTTTAGTTGCCTTACCTGAATAAAGGGGTTTGCATGAGGATTCCAGAATTTCTCTAGGCCATGGTGTCTCTTCTCATGAGAGCTCTTAGTTTGGTATGACTGTGTGTCATTGGATGGCCTCCTAGTGCCAGGCCCAGGGTATATATAGATACCATCCCTACCACTGGTCTCCACCCTGAGTCATCAGGCAGGTGGGCCTCGTCTGCAGGGCTGGGTGAGGGACAGGGGCAGGCTCTGGGCCTGGATGCTGCAGGTTGTACCCAAGGGTCCTTCCTAAGGTGGGTGTGCCTGACGTTAGGGAGGTGAATAGAAAGAGGATGGGTAGCATAAGAGGTAAAGGTTTTCTTTTAAGTTCGATTTTTTTTTTCTGGTTTCAAAGGCTTATGTGCTTGAAAAACTTTTGAGAGGTATAAAGAGGTTAAAAAAACAAAACTCCACCCACACATAACCACACCACTCAGACAGAACCACTGTTAACATTTTTCTGTGACTTCCAGGGTTGTTTTTATGCATTTATATATGTTATATATATTTAAACAAAAATAGTATCATGCTATATACATTATTTTATAAGCTTTTTCTCCTTACTCACATAGTATATTTTTTCTCATCAGTGCATAGAGGCCTTGATTTTTACATAGGCTGCTTAGCATTCTCTGCTGTTGGCGTGCATATATATTTAACCGGTCCCCACAAGTGGACACTAAGAGTACTTTCATATTGCCCAAGGCTATTCTTGTCCTTCAGTCTCTGCCTAGACCCCCTCTTGGACTCAGTTCTGAGAAGAGGCTCTGGCTCTGAGGGCCTGCATGTTATCAAGCCTCTGCTTCCACGGTAGCCACGGTTCCCACAGCCAGTGTGGTGGGAAAGCAAGGTGGATCCAGGAGGTACCCCATTCTGACCCTCTCCCTTTCTTCTCTTTAGGACTGAACCCATCAGAACCACTGTCTTCCAGTACCCCGTGGGCTGGCCACCAATGCAGGAGCTGCCCCCGTCCCTGCGGGCACCCCCTCCTGGAGGATGGTCCCTACAGCCCAGAGTTCAGTGGGGCTGAGCTCTTCCCCACCTCCCTGCCTGACTTCTGGTCACCAGGCATAGTATAAAGACAGTTACTCAACCAAGGAAGTGAAGCTGCCTTCGCTCTGTAACCCCCTGGAGCCTCTGAGACCATGAGCTTGGCCTCCCCATCCACCCACCATCCCTCAGGGCATATCTTGAGAAGATGGGTGAGAAACATCCAAATGTTTATAAAGTCTGTCCTCGAAGGTTTTTCTGACACTCATGTTCTTGGCTCTGTCCTCTTGCCTCTGTCAGGGGACAGGTGGGCTGGAATGAGACAAAATCCCCTCCAGGATATCCTCTGCTTACAGCCCTTCTTGCTTAAGGATCAGTAGAGGCTCAGCCAGGCTGGGCACAGAGCATGCCAGTGTGGCTGTGGCCCAGATAGTAAGTGGCCCCAGGCTAGGGAAAGGAGCCCAAGGATTCTGCCAACTGTCTCAGCCCCTGAAGAGCTGCAGCCATGCATCTGCCCAGGCTGTGCCGGTGCCAAGAAGTGGGATGGCACACGTAGAGCCAGGATGAGAGCTGGACCTCTTGCCTTGAGGGTACAGAGAAGTGGGGCCCCCAAGAGGACAGGCCCTGGACTTGGAAGAGTGATCTGTTGGCTATGCCAGATTCTCAAGGGAGTCGGGTCCCTTGGGAGTAGCCCACGGCCTTCCAAGGTTGCACCCTGGCCAGTGGGGAGGTCACGTGGGCTACAGGAGCTTTCCTCCTCAGTTGGGTTTCGAGGTTCTGTGCTGGGAGACAACTTGGTCCTTGGTCTCTAGGACTTTGGTGGAAGGCTCAGCAGTTCATGGGCCTTAGAGCTATCTCTGATGCCCCTTCTTGCTTGAGCATTTGCCTTTCCTGGAAAGCCCTGTGGAAGAAGAACCTGAAGCCAGATCTTAGTCCCTCAAAGCCTCAGGCTCCTCACCTGTGAAATGGGCAGACACATGCCCCAGAAGGTAGATAGGAAGACTGGCCTTGGGTCTAGGGAGGGTCAGATGAAGGGACCCAGGAACCCCAGTCTTGTGCCCACCTCCACCCCACCCACAGCTCTGGACATAATTTTCTCTCCTGCCTAAAAGATCACAGCACTAACTGGATCCTAGGGACTCTTGTGAAGTCCCTTCTTTCCCAGGAGCTCCTGGGTGGTGGGTAGTTAATGCTACATACAGGCCAGGTGAGGGCACAGGCAGGGTATAGGGGCTAGTGCTGTCCTCAGAGCCACCGCCAGGTCCTTCACAGCTGGGCCATGGCTCCATGCAAGGCCTATGGGGTGAGGATCGGGGTGGTCAATGTCCAGGCTCGAAGTGCCCGTGGGTGGTGGCCCAAGGAGTAAGCTGTGGGGGGGAGGGCTGCAGGCAGCGGTAGGTGTGGAGTGAGCCTGGGCATTGCAAATACCAGGTGGGCACCCATGTGGTGCCTATTTCATGCCACTGCGCAGCACCTGGTTGGCTGCGATGAGCATGACACTGATGATGAAGGCGATGGCGAAGGCGCAGATCAGGCTCTTTCGCACACACGTCTGGCGGATCTGCTGGTTGGAACAAGCTGTAGCCGCCCACCAGGAACACCAGGCAAAGACAGAAGGGGACAATGAAAGGATGGAATCAGGTCTACACTTTGGCACATGAACTTGACTTAGGGCAAACAAGGACACAAGGCTGGGGGCAAGTAGGGGGGATCCCATGCAAACCCCTGGTACGTCCCCCTGCTCAAGCACTGGAACCCACCCACAAAGTCCCAAGACAGGCCACTCACTTTCCACGTCCACAGGACACTCCTCAGCAGTGCCCATGTGGCTCTCTTCTTCTGTCATGATGATGTTCTCTATGTCCTTCATGGACAGGTGCTCGCAGAAGGTGTCATAGAGGAGTCGCTTCAGCTCGTCCACTGTCAGCTTCTGCATGTCACACTTGGGTGGCAAAATGACAAGCGCTCTGGCCACTACCCTGCCACAGTCCCCATTCAGCACCCTGTAGGTGCACAGGCCCCAAGACAGGCCCCCAGATCCCATAAGACTAGAACTACCTGGTCCATTCTCCCAAGGAGCCCAGGCCCCCAGGAAGCAGGGCATCCAGTGGACAGTGGTCATCCCCCACTCACTGTGTATGGGTCTAACACCTCCACAGTCACATAGCAGAGTACCAGTCGGCCAGAGCATACCTTCCAGAAGACAGTGTCAAAGTCAGTGCCATGGAACTTCTCTGGGATCCCCGAGGTGGAAAGCTTTGGTCCCAGGAGTGTTACAAACTCTTCAAAGTCCACTTGGCCATCACCTAGAGTGGGCATAGGACTAATGAATGGGTAAGACTGAGAGCATGATCAGGCATCCCAGAGTTCAAAAGACATGAAATGGTGTCTTGACCTGCCTCAGACCTACCATGGGACCTCAACCCCTTCCCTGATTTCAGGGATGCCTAATATGCCAGGCTACGAGCTGATGTTGAGGCTATCAAATGTGATTGGGCTCTACTGGAGACTGGGGAAGGAGAGCAGCAGATGATCCCCAGATGTGGGAAACTCTCCTAGAACACTCAGACTCTCCATGGCTCCTCAGCACAGTGCTGAACACCCTTTCTTCCATCCAGATGGGAACATGAAGCTGACTGCCCAGACTCACTCCTGCTCTCGGGAGGGAGAGGAAAGGGGGAAGAGGCAACAGGTGGGATGAAACAGAGGGGACTTCACATTACTAATCATTCTTAGGAGTTTTTCTTTAATAAAAATACCAGGCAGCAAATACAGACACCATTTGTTTGGGTGGTGGAAGCTGAGATATTTATTCCACCCTCCTTTTTCATACTTTAAATTTTCTCTGGCCATAGAGTGGGAGGGCAGTCTTGGACCCTGTGTGTGGCTGGGACTGCCAGACCTCCTCTGGCCTCCACTTTCCAAGCTAAGAAGTGCTAGTAGGTCATGACCACCCAGGAAGCAAGAGACCAGAGTGGACTCGGCCACCATGGTTCAGGCCCTGGGGCCTAGGTGATGGTGGGCAATTAAATCGAGGCAGGGCATCTCACCATCCATGTCGAGCCGCTGGATGATAACCTCCAGCTCCACCTCATTGGGCATGTAACCCAGGGAGCGCATGGCCGTTCCCAGCTCCTGCTTAGAGATGAAGCCATTGCCATCACGGTCGAACACCTTGAAGGCCTCTCGGATCTCTGTGGAGGGACAGAAGGCTGAAACCTCAGCCCTGTCCCCAACAGCCCCTTTCCCAGATTCCTGGGATCTGACAGACCCACTCAGAACCCAGAGCTCTGTTGAGAGACAGTCATAGGGTGTCCAGGACACACTCTTGGGCTGTGATCTCCGGTCTCTGGGCAGGCAAGGCAGAAGAGACAAAGGTGCTCCTAGCCTGAGATAGTGGCCTCTGTGGGTCTGACAGCCTCCCTGGTATGCTCAGGACTACACCATGTGGTGGGTGTAGGGAGCACACCAGATTAGCCAGGTTAGTGGCTAAAGATGTCCTGCTTGACATTATCTTGTCTGATCTTCCTGCTGGGCTTCCTCTCCCAGTTCTACTCTTGCCATCAGGCAGCCCTAGCTCATGGTGGGATGGCCATGTGACTCTAGCTAGTGAGTGACAGAATTCACAGGCCTGGTTTAGACAAAAATAGGTATAATAGTGATCCCCACAAGGCCCAGGCATGATCTCTGAGCTTCACGCTCTCTGCAGTACAGTAGGGAAGACTGAGGCCTGAAGACCTGAGGGATTCTGGAAGGAACAATACACTTGACTGGGAACTTGGGACTCAAGCAACTCAACATATGCTCTCAGGCCAGCCTTAGTCTTATCCACAGCAAGTGGATGCAATGCGTGAGCAGCACTAAAGCAAAAGCAGCATGGAACTTGAGGGGCCCTAACCTCTCACCCTTGCCCACCTGCCTCTCTGCTGCTGTCCCTTGGTTGTCACACCCAGCAGGGCCCTAAAGAACATTTCCTTAGAGGGGAAATTAGATGTAGCTCCCTGCAGGCTCCTTGTTCACTTGGCAGCCTCCTGGCCTCTTTGCCTAAGTTGTTCCCCTGGGTAGAATTTCACTCAGTAGGCAAGTGTGTGTGTGTGTGTGTGTGTGTGTGTGTGTGTGTATAAAGGCATGCGATGCTCCACACTGCAGACCTCAAAGGTGTTATGGATGCCAAGAGGCCAGCCTAGCTCAGTGTAGATTAAGGCTACTGCACTATCCTAAGGCTAGTTACACTATCGTAGGCCTCAGGACTCTATAAGCCCTGAAATGACTTGTAAGAGCTCATACTTTTTCTGGCCTTAGGAGAATAGAGAGTGCAGGCCAGCCTGATGGCCTTAACACAAAGCAGAAGTCATGACCTACAGAAAGGTGGCTTGGCCCCAGGTCCTCATCTGGCTCTTCCATGTGGAATCTGGAGATCAGAGTCCTACAGGCA